GTTGCCCCGACGCAGGTGCAGGACCTTGCACTTGGCCTTGTTCAACCTCATGAGGCTCACTCAGGCCCACTTCTTGAGCTTGTCCAGGTCCCTCTGGATGGCATCCCGTCCCTCTGGCGTTTCGACCACACCACTCAGCTTGGTGTCATTTGCAAAATTGCTGAGGGTGCACTTGATCCCACTGTCTATGTCATTGATGAAGATATTAAACAGTACTGGTCCCAATACGGACCCCTGTGGAATGCCACTCGTCACCAATCTCCATCTGGACATTGAGCCGTTGACAGCTACCTTCTGGATGTGACCATCTAACCAATTCCTCACCCACCGGCCAGTCCACCCATCAAATCCATAAGTGGTGATAGTCATTGTTGCAAGGGTTAATATAATCTTGAGGTTACTCTAGTTAGTCAGTGGATAGAGGTAAACCATATGTAGTTCTCTCTGTCCAGGGTGGATACCAAGACTTGGCTGTATTAAATTCTGAGGTGCTCAACTGAGCTGTGTAAGAGAATGGTGGCTGCTTGTAAATGTTCCTGATGGACCTTGGGCTGAAGTTATACCTGAGCGGTGGCTGCTTCTGGCTAGTCTAGTGAAGATTGACCAAGACTAGGAAAGCTGAGATAAGCTCGTGGCTTTTAAGAACTACAAAGCTATACTGCAAGACTTTAAAATTACTGTGTTAAGTAAGTTAACAATTCTTTTGCAGATTCGTCAACTTGAGTCTCTACTCTGCAGTAATGAAAAGCCCTCACGACTCATCTGGACCTCTTCCAGCAATGCCAGGGAGTCTGCCTTCAGCCTTTCTGACTATCAGCATGCCAAGGGGCAGGAATCATACAGTTCCTCCAAATACGCTACTGACCTGACAAGTGTGGTTTTGAACAGGAAATTTAATAAGCAGGTGATGATGGGGTTTTCATGTCTGAAGAAACCTGATGAGCTCCTACTGTTTATAATTATCATTACATTGTTGTTACCTAGTTGCATTCATTCATAGCAATCTGATATGTTCCTTAATGCACATGTAAGAACTAAACACGGCTGAGGTTGAACCAGTGGTGTGAGTGGTGGAGAATCTGCCAGAAAGACTGCTTCTGGGGTTCTTGTCAGAAAAACTTCTGAAAGCAGAAGATTTTAGGAGCGGTCCCTACCTTGCAAGCTCTAGCTGTGTCTTTAAGACCAATTCTTTGGTCTAAAGAGCAAAGAGCTGCTGCTCTTTTCAGGCATACCTGCCTATCAGAACAGGGCTGCTCAAGCAGCTTTGCCTGCAAGCACTTGAGGTGCAGGCTCTGCTGTCTCTCCTGATGGCTCCGTGCTGTGATTCAAGTTTGTAATGCTAAGATGTTGTGAGCAACCTGCTTTCCCTGTTATGGGGCATTGCCGGATTTTGTTGGCAAGCTGCAGCCCTAGTCCAGCGATAGTGATTGCACTCTTTTGAAATACTTCAGGAGAAAATGGTTTAGTCCTAGAAGGTTGAACTCTTATCAAAGGCTATCTCACCTTTAAGAGATCTGAGCGGGCTGTAATTTGTGGGATGACTGCTGTTGCTGCTGAGCTGCATGAGGTTGTGATGTGCTGGGAGGCTGCGCCTTCTGTCTATGATATGGGCATAGATTTAACAAGAACATCTCCAATTTGGACCTCTCAGAAATCACTACATCTAATCACTCTCTGGCTCTGGTAACTTTAGAGAGGAGAGCATCTACTATTAACTGGTCTCTATATTCATCTTCATTTTCTTGCTGAGAAGTACTAGGAGGGAAGGAGTATGATCCATTCTTAAACTAACTTGTGTATTTACACGCTGATTCGGTCTCTTCTCTGCAGGGTCTGTATTCCAGTGTTGTTTGTCCTGGTCTTGTTATGTCTAACATGACCTACAGGATTTTGCCAGTTTTTCTGTGGAAGCTGCTAATGCCCATCATGTGGTTGGTAAGCGGATCTCCTGGCTGGTTTTGGGTTGAGTTAGCCCTGCTGTGATATACTTCACTGCAAGTGATGTGCAGTGTGCTTCTGGCTCCTTGCTACCCATGCTGCTATACAGCTCTTCCTTCCGTTGGACTGGGGAGGCTGGCCCCTCTGCAAACCTTCCCTGCGGCACCCTGGGGCCCCAATTTCCAAGCTGAGTTTGGAGGTTTGGTGCTGGACAGCCCTGTACATAAAGCCAGGGTTCAGCCCTTCAGCCATAGCAGTGTTTGTCAAGGCTCCCCTTGGAAGGTTTGCCAGACTGTTGTGGGCTTGTGAAACCCTATCGTTTTGGTGGCAGCAGAGCTCAGGACAAAACTTGGCCCCTGTGCTTTGAAATGCTGTTCCTTTCTATAACAGACTATTTTTCAGTGTTCCTCTTTCCATCCCTCTAGAAGGCAGTGTCTCCTGCTCTCTTCTTTCCATCCCTCTGGAAAGCAAAGCCTGCTGCTCTCTATTGCCTCTTCCTCTGCTTTCCCCAAAACTTTCCTTGCCTTTCTTCCTCTGGGCTTCAGCTTTTCAGGTTCACTACAGTTCTGTCTCTGCATGCAGGCTGCCTGCTCTAAGTCTTGATGCTCTTGCTGCAAGATTGGCCTTTCTGCTTAAGCTGTCCCAGCTGGCAGCAGCTGATCCTGACAGATCACATTTCTCCTGGCAGTGGAGAGGCAATGCCTTCTCACTTGTCCTCAACACTGGCAGTATTGCAGATCCTCTCTGCCTCCTGCCAGATGTGCTCTTGAGATCATTCAAGAAGCAGTGCCTGCAAGGTGTGTGTGGCCCGTTGCCTCTTGCTTTGGGGGTGAGCTGTTTGTGTGGGGGCACGGAGCGAGGCTTGCTGATCTGGTGGGTGGCTCCAGAGACCAGAGTTTGTGGTGATAAAGGGATGCTTTAGTCATAAGTGTGCAGTGTTACCTGTAGTCAACTTTGAGAAGCATTTCTACCTCTGGTAGGTGATCTGGTGTGGCTGGGTTGCAGAGGGCTTGCCAAAGAAACCTTGGGCCAAAATATAGATTGTCATGTACTTCTTTTCCCGTCAGATCCGCTTTTTTGCCAAAACATACACTCTGACACCGTATAATGGAGCAGAAGCTCATGTAAGTAGTTCACAACTTGATTTTAATATTCCTCCCTTCTGGGTAGCTCTTCCAGTGTTGTTGGCTTGAACAAAGAGCCTCTCTGCCAGGGCGGGTGCTGTATTTCCCCCCCGAACATCTTACAGCAGTCAGTGCTGGGGGACCAGCTGTGACCAGGGCTGATCCAACAGGTGACGCTTTATGCCCTTCATCAGGTGCCCATAAAATAAATGATTTTGGAAAAACACTATTCCTTCCCTCTCGGTCAGGGAGAATGCTGATCTCCCTGTTGGCAGTCAAGCAGCCATAGATATACGGGCACAGGGGACGGAGGTGAGTAATGCAGGGGACGGTGTGCATCAAGAACAGTAGTGAGCAAGTTTAGCCATGTGAACTGCTTTAGTGGTTTAGCACTGGAGCATAAACATGGTTTACTGTTGGCTCAGGTAGGTCACAGCTGAGGGGAGCCAGCTCAAACTTCTTCCCTATATATCAAGTCTTCCCCTGTTTGGTAAAAGCACCTGTGGTGTTCTCCTTTGTCCATTGGCAGTCAGGTGCTTGACTGCAGGCTTGGTTGGGACAGTGTGTGCTAGACTTGGTACACGTTTGTGCTGTTCTTCCTAGGTGTGGCTGTTCAAACAGAAGCCAGAGTACCTGGATGTGCTTGTCAAATACCACAGCTGTACTTCTGGACTGGGGAAGAGCTATGTGGAGCCCAGAAAGGTAAATGGAGCGGCAGCCTTCTGCTGCGGGGGACTTGGCTAGGGGTCTGCCATCTGCCTCGCGTGGAAGGGTTGGTGCGCCAAGGTGTCCTGTGGCTGGAGTGGAAACAAAATGCATGTTGAATGCTGACGTGGGGTTATCTGCGAGGTTTCCTAGAATAACTTCTGGCTCAAGCTGGACTCTGGAGGACAGTGGAGACAATGATTAGAACAGGATGAGTGTGTAATGATGCTTCCCCAAAATATGCTTTGGCTTTCTGCCCTGGTGATAGATGCCTTTAGTTGCCTCTCTGTGAATGTAGAAGCTTTGGAGATGCACCCTGCTATCCCCAGAGCTACCCTCAGCATCTGTGCTGGCTGCCACCAAGGTGGTGGTCTCACAGTGCTGTTCTTATTGTCTTCCAGATTGATGTGGATGAAGAAACTGCTGAGAAATTTTACCAAAAGCTGTTGGAACTGGAGAAGCAGGCTCTAGAGAGATACAGTGATCTCCTAGATTAAGTAAAGCCAATCTCAGTGGGATAAGTCTCGTATCGGTAACATGGGCTTTCTTCATTCTGGTGCTACTTGTGTTGCCTGCTGTTCTGCAGGCACATGGCTTCAGACCCCATCTTCCTTCTCGACAGAAGGTGAACAGTTCCTGAAAATGGAAATGTGAAAACTGAAGAGAAATACTTAGTCTTTCTGGTATGGGATTTTTTCTGGCATAAAACTGGAGACCTAGAGTAGGTGGAGACTGTCTTAACACAGTTGCAAAGCAGTGTCTTGCGAAAGCATGACTGAACAGTACACAGTTTGGGAACAGCATCAAATTATGTGGCTTAAATCTGGCTTAGTGCAGGAAAGGCAACAGTCTGGGCTGCTGCCCTGCATCTTGGCTCTACCAGTCTTTCTAGATGGCTCAAACACATTACCTGTGGCTGATCCTGAAGTACTTGAAGGCCCATCTTCAGAAGAGCTGCTCTTCATCTGTACATCAAAGCTGGGACCGGCTTTCCAGACATGCTCAACAAGATTGAACCTTGCTGGAAGTCAGGCTCTGCACAGCATCTGAAGCCAAGCTCCTGAAGAGCTGGCCTGAGAAGCGCACCCTTGCCTCAACTCTGAGGACAGATGTCTTGCTGTCCCCTCGGTATGGGGCCATGTTGTAACCACAACTGGCTGGAAAGACTGAAGTTGTTGATGTTAACCTGGACTCAGGGCTAGTCTGCTCTGTTTGTAGCAAGAGTGAGAGGTTACCATGTTATTTTATCTATTTAACTGTCTTTTTATATAAAATTTACTGTACTGAGTTTTCTTCCTGTTGCCTATCTGGGGAGCTTCAAGTACCTGGTGTACTTCAAATGCTGTAGTGAATAAATGACTGGAACTGACTTGTCCTTGCTGCAGTGGTGTTCTTCCTCCAATAGCTGGCTGCTTTTGACTCAGAGGGCTTTGTTGCCTTGCACAATAAGCCTGTGCATACATGGGAAGCATGGGGTCTGTTCTCTCCTGCCATAGGAGAGCTGTTAACCACCTCTTTGGGTTTACTTCTCTTGTTCCTTCTAGTTAATAAAAGATATGAGTGACTTCTGAAGACTTCAGTGTGGTTTTATGTGTTGAGCACCTGTGGGATGTCTGGGACCATTTCCCAGCCTTAGGCACTCGGCAGGCATAGATGTCTCTGGTGCTTGCTTACCCTGATGTGTCACAGAATTACTGATTTAATGCTGTCTAGTAAGGGAGTGTTACAGTGTGCCCAGGCGCTTCCTTGGGGCCTGGCAGGGGCCAGGTGAAGTTAGGAGGGAGGCTGTGCTGCTCAGCCCTGCACCACCCTGGCTGTGGTGGAGACTCCCTGAGCTCTGGAGGTGCAGCTGCGCTGCCCAGGATGGTGCAACCTGCTGGGGGGGCTGGAACGCCCACAAGGGTTGGCTCAGGGGTCTGTGTAGGAAACTGTGGAAGCACAGAGCTGGCATCTGGGAGAATGAAGGCTCTGCAGAGGCTCTTCATTGAGTTGGCTTGTAAGGATACAGATTTAAAGAATCTTGCTTTTATTTTTTTCCTTCCTCCCACCCTCCATTGTTTTTGAGTATCGGTGCAAAGTAGAGGGGTACTGCTAGCATGGTGGTGTCTGCAGTAGAAACAGCTCAGTCTTGAGTTTGGGCTGAGCAGCACCTCTCATCCCTCGAGTGAATACCTGAGCTACCAGCGCTAGTGTGGATGAGAACGGACTCTGGTTTGGCCTGACACTGAAACAGAATGAGAAGCTGGCCATTGTGGAATGATGCTTCCCTTGGCCATGGCTGTAGCTGTTCAGAGTTGTGAAGCAGATTGGGGTGTGCTTATATGGCTCTTTATTTAAATGCAATAAAGTCTGTCCCAGCACCAGCTCTGGGTGCTGTGGCTTTGTTCAGCTGTGTCCTGAAACCCCCTGGGGCCAGAGCCCCCCCTTTCTGGTGCCGTTTCTTCTCCACAGGGAAGGAGTCAGTGGCTGGCTGTCTCTTCAACTTGGTGTACTTGATCCCCACAGCATCCTACAGCAGTATTTGGCTCCTTGTTCTGGAGAGTAATTAAGCATGTTATCTTGATTGGTTTTAGATGAGCATCTTGAACTTTGCTGTGCTTCTGCCCTGGGCTGTAGTAGGTATCATTCACCCCCTCCACCTTTAGGATTCCCCACCTACCCCAAAGCCAGAGACACTCAGTCATTCCCTGCTCTGACTGTTCTCTGATACTACCCCTGTCTCATTTTCTCTCTGGGGTGAGATAAATGAAATGGCAAATGTCACTCAAAACAGAGTCCGACATAACGCTTCATGAAATGAGTGCAACCTACTGGGAGATGGGAAGGACAGGGCTCTTATGCCGAGCTGATCACCTGTATTGTCCTGTACCAGCTGCATGCTGGCGCTGTAGCTGTGACAGTCCAAGGATTTGAATGCAGTAAGGTCTGGAGGTGCTAGAAGAGGTAGCTTTGAATAAGCTAGTATAGTTAGGAAAAATAAATGCTTTCTGGTACGTGAGGGTTTTTTTTTTCTAAAGCCTGGAATAAAGTGGCAAATTTCTAGGGTGGGCAGAGATTGATGACCATAGGTAGGACCTTTGAGGTTTTTTCTCAAGTGTGTACCTGTGGGCTGAAGTTGGGCATTTATCAGGGGAAGTTGTGCCTGATGGGATGGGGCGAGAGCTTTTTGCCTATGGAGCATGCAGAGGCTGGTGAGGGGAGAGGATGTGTGATATACCACTGCCAGTCTTTGAGTTATCCATGATGTTGGTGTCAAATAGAGCTATGAACAGGTTTCTGGGCTCATCTTAAAAGCACTCTGTAGCTCTCCATTGAGGATTTGGGGTTCAGGGTTAGAGAAAGTGTGTGTTTCTGTCCTGTTGTGTCTGAGCTCAGCCTACTGCATGGTTTAGTTTCACCTTAGTTGCTCTGAAGGCAGCTGGTGCACTGCGATGTATGTTACATCCTGGGAGATGCAAGTGTAGGATTCGGGAGTTGTGGGGGATCTGCTGGAGCATGTGGTTGTGGTTGGTGTGGATGCAAAGTGGCCTCTGGAAATCTCTAGCTCAGCTTCCTGCTCGAACAGAGTTACATGAAAAAGGAACAAAAGGCGCTAAAGCACAAGCTGAGCCCTGGAAAGATGGGACAACCTGGGATGGGACATCCCTGATGGGATAAAGTTTGTGGTTCCCCATGAGTTTGGTGCTGCATGGAGCTGGAGATGCACGATCAGCCCAGGTGTCTCCAGAAGTCTACTCTTCAGTTGGAGGAGGTGCTCTAGTGTCACAGGACCCCACTGCTCTATAGGAGTTTCTGCCTGCTTTTGTGACCCCAGGCATCATTGTCCATGCCCTTCTGTAGAAGGAAACTTGGCCGTGCTCGACCTTACCTTCTGCTCCTCTCCTCCATGTTGTGAGAAGCTGGATGTCTTTGCATCCAAAGGATGCAACTGTTCTGTGGGATGGGAACCGTAACCACCTCTCAAGTTTTGTCTTTTGTCCTGAAAGCACAGGTAGGACCTGGTGCCTTGAAATGGAGACTGCCCTCTGTGAACTTTGCCTGGTGAATCCTGCCCAAGGGGTGCTGTGCCACCTGGTTTGGCTGCCCACCACCCAGGTGACTGAGAGCAGAACTGGCCCATGCACCAGAGCTGCCGGTCTGCAGGGAGGGATGGCTCCTCATGCCCTGCTCTTGGCTAACAGACGCCTATGCATGGAGCTTAATCCCCCAGCTAATCTCTTTTGGCCGGCAGGCACATCCAGGCATGAAAGCAGTAATGGAGAAACAGCAACTGGGTCAAGGAGAGCATGCAGGTATGTGCATCTGTCAACCTCTTCCCAATGCGCTCCTGTCCCCTCGTCTTCGCTTGCTAAGGTAGTGGAGACACCACTGATGCCATTGCATGAGTCAGGTGCCTCCGCTGAGGTTGTGCACGTGGAGTTGTTGAGCCCTTTGTGAAATGAAAACAGGTCCTACCCAGAGCATGGGGCCCTGTGGCAGAGCCAGGGGTGACGCAGGGCGGTGAGAAATGCCAGGCATGGGATGGGGGAAGAGCCGGCAGCAGCAGCTGTGAGTCAGTGCTAAGAAAGGAGCTTTCTGTTTGCGATCCTCGGATATGAAGCTTTCCAGAGACGCTCTGGGGCAGGTCTTGAGCGTGAAAACTCATCGTGGTTGCTCTATGACGTCCTGCGCAATCGGGCTGTGCGATCTAATATCTAATCATCATAACTCATCCCAAGTCACCGGTTTCTTATCTTCATGGGCAAATGCGTTGCCTTGCTCCAAACACAGTCTGAGTCCTCCATTGCTTTACAGCTCAGCTGGCTTTCAGCTACGTAGGGTACCGATGGTAGGGGTGTGGGTGGGAACTGCAGCCCAAGTTGCAGCCAAGGGAGGAGGAAGCTTGAGATCAGTGTGGCAGGGCTGAAATCCCCATGGCTGGGTGACCTTTGCCTCTCCAGGAGGGGAAAACAACAGGATTGAAGGAAACAACAAGGACCAGCGTGTGCCCCTGTAAACAGGGGTGGATGTGATACAGCCAGCTTGTGTCAAAACATCCAGGGTTAACCTTTGAATGGCAACTTCGATGTTGAAAGTGCTCGGAGGGGAGGTGCCTAGAGGGGCTGGGGGGTGAGGACAGACATAGCTCTGAAGAGGTGGGTGAGAAACGGGGAGCGGAAACCCCTCTGGGAATGTTGCAGGAGCATGAATGGTCTGTCTGGCAGGGAAGAGCCAAGGGGGCTGTGGATCCATGTGGGTTTTGCTGAGAATGGGCAAATTGTTGAGCCCCAGGAAATTTTTGGCTGAGAGGGAGTTCTCACACCTCCAGCCACCCCTGCTCTGAGCAGGGATGGCCTCACGGCTGGACCAGGCAGCTCAGGGATGTGTCCAGGTGAGTTCTGAAGTTTCTAGGGATGAAAACCCCACAGTCCCCCCGGGCCCTGTCCCAGGGCTGCTCCCACTCACCACTCCACTTTACAGCTTCCCAGGGGAGAGTAAGGCTGAATTGCTTGAAGGGTGAGATATCAGAGGCTCAAGGCAGACATGTGCCACATGGCCAAGGAAATGGTAAAGCCCAAAGAGAGCCAAGACTGCCTTCAGGGTCAGGGAGGCTTTTCAGTATTGCTTTGCAAAACACGGAGCTGTGCCCAAAGGAGAAACCTTGAAGGGGAACTGGTGGATGAGTTCAGGAACAGCTTGTGAGAAGAATCAGAATGAGTAGTAAATCCTTTATCTATGTTATCAATAGATTCTCCTGTGTAAGAGCAGAGCTTGGAGAGGCTGTGGTGCTATAATTAACATTTTTGGCACCAGTGCTCAGTGAGAGGAGCCTGGGAAGGCTGCCCTGCCAGAAACCCTCTTGCAGATGCAAGGATTTGTATCAAACCAAAGTGCCAGCAGGGGAGACAACAGGGCAGGCAGATGAACGACCAGGGCTGGATGACATTCATCTTGAGGCAAAGTAGCTGAACTGATTGCTGTGCACTCATTTCTCCCTTAAAACTGCCTCAAGCAAAGCATACAGGAGAAGGTGGCTGGATACCCAGCCTGGGGTCAAGCTGTATAAGGTCTTGCTGCGAGACAGCGCAGATGCTAAACACTTATGTAGGATCCTCTTTCTCGAAAGAGAAGCTACTAAAGACAAAGACGACCTCGGGGTGCACCAGCGAGGCATGGCTCCGGTCTTGCCCTGCTCTTTGTTTCTGTCTGTCTCAGCAGAAGCTTTGGTCAGTTCAGTTTGGTTCAGCGTACGTCTGCCTGTGGGAGTCGTGTCCCCTGGAAGAACCTGCATGTGCTCCTCCAGGGCAGTGACAGTGGAAGGCATGTGGCAGCCTGGCAGAGAGGAGGTGGCAGGGCGTTCGGGGCCCCCTCCAGGGCTGGATCCACAGAGAACACCCCGGTAACCCTACTTGGTACCACAGCACTGAGACAGCGCGTAGTGCCACCCCCAGCTGAGCATTGCAGACTGAACACAGTCCCACCCTCAAGGGACAGCAGTGACCTCAGGGGTGGGGAATCTAGCCAGCCTGTACAAGTGGCTGGGACAAGGCTGAGAGGACAGCCA